CTATATAATCTGAAAATGACAGTATTGTTTATTTCCAATCCTTTTTTTAGCAAGGGCATATGTGTTGAGGCAGGTTCTCAAGTAGCCCAACATGGCTATGTAGCTGACAGTGACTTTGAACTCTGGAACCTCTTACCCTTCACCTGCTTTTTGTGTTATTAATACATATTTATTTATTTTGTGTGGGTATATTTGGGCATGCATGTGCCATGGTGCACATGTGGACATCAGAGGACCACTTGCTGGAGTCAGTTGTTTTGATTCCAGAGGATTAAACTCAGGTTGTCAGGCTTAGTGGCAAGTGCCTTTACCTGCTGAGCCATCTCACCTCCTCCTCCACCTCCTATTATTTTGTTTCCTAGTATTTAGGACAGCACTATTAGATAAAAATCTAATAGAAGTCATGCACACAAACTGCATATATAATTTCATATTTTCTAGTAGTTACATTAAACTCTTTTTTTTTTTTTTGAGACAGGGTCCCCCTGTAGCCCCAGCTGTCCTGGAACTCACTATGTAGACCAGGCTGGCCTCGAACTCACGAAAATCCACCTGTCTCTGCCTCCCGGGTGCTGGGACTAAAGGCGTGCACCACCATTCCTGGCACATTAAACATTTTTTAAAGAGAGGCTGGAGAGATGGCCTGGCAGCTAAGAGGGACTGGGTTCCATACCCAGCACTCACATGGCAGCTCAGAACCATCCATAACTCCAGTTCCAGGGGATCCAACACTCTCCTCTAGCCTCCACGGGCATTGCAGGACACAGGTGCACTTACATTCAGGCAAAAACATACATGTAAAATAAAAATTCAAAATAAATAAAAAGAGCCAGGCATTGTGGTCCAAGCCTTTAATCCCATCACACAGAAGGCAGGCAGATCTCTGTGAGTTCCAGGCCAGTCAGCTAGGTTAATAGTGAGACCCTGTCTCAAAAAACAAAACAAAAACTTAAAAAGAACAAGTGAAATTTTAATATTTATTTAACCTAATATATGAAAATATAATCATTTCAATATATAAGAGAAATAAAAATGAAAGTTTTTGTTTTTGTTTGCTCTTTGAGACAGGGTTTCATGCTATAATCCAGACTAGCCTTGAACTAGTGGTCCTGCTGCCTCAGCCTCCCAAGTAGACCATGGGCCTAAGCCACCATGCCCAGCTATACAAGTATCAATGACATACATTACAGAAGGATTTGGGGTCTTGTCCCAGTTAGGTTTCCGTGATAAACCCCATGACCAAAACCAACTTGGGGAAGAAAGGGTTTATTGCATCTTACAACTCCTGGATCATAATCCATCACTGAGGGAAGTCAGGGCAGGAACTCAAAGAAGAAACCTAAAACAGAAACTGAAGGAAAGACCATGAAGGAAAGCTCCTTACTGGTGTGCTTCCCTTGGTTTGCTCAGTTCCCATTCTTATACAATCCAGGCCCATCTGAACAGGGATGGCACCTTTCACAGTGGGCTGGGCTCGCCTACATCAATTAACAATTAAGAAAATAACTTCCAGGCATGCCCATAGGCCAGTCTGATGGAGGAAATTCCTTAACTGGGGTTCCTTCTTCCCAGGTGACTCTAGTTTGTATCAAGCTGATAAAAATTGAACAGCACAGGTTGCGTCTTTGATATCTGATGGGTATTTCAGTTTACTCTTATGTCTCTATTGAACTAGTCATATTTCATACGTTCAATATATCACCAACATGGACCATATGTTATACAATGTGTAAAAGAAATGGGGGCTGTGGCTGATCTTACCTGGCCATCCATCTCCAGTGGATACCTTCAACAATCAGGAAATTTTCTGCAGATTTTTTTAGATATCTTTATGGGGAATAAGTCATTCTCTTGTATTTCTAACTTAGCTTGTATTTCTAATTTACTATGAGTTTTAAAACATGGTGCATACTTGTAATCCCAAAACTCCAAAGGTCCTCCTCCACATTCCACACTCCACCATTCCAGGGTGGGGCCATTCAGCTTCCCTTCTTTTTGGTGTTTTTGAGACAGGGTCTCTCTGTAGCCCCAGCTGTCCTGGAACTCACTATGTAGACCAGGCTGGCCTTGAACTCACAGAGATCCACCTGCCTCTGCCTCCCTAGTGCTGGGATTAAAGGCGTGTGCCACCACGCCCGGCTTCAGCTTTCCTCTTTATCTTGAGTCTTTTTCAGCAAATCAGGCTTTTGTAGAAACTTGCCTGTCATTTAGATGGCTTAAGACACTGTAATAAAATTACTCATGAGATTCCTGAATTTTTTTTTCTTTTTAGAAATCTCAGGCAGCCTTTTTTTAAACAAATCTCAAGCTTTTTGCTCACAGTGTTAGTTCATTGCACTTTATCTCTTTTTTTCTTAGTTACTTTCACCAGAAAGTTGTCAATGTAAATTTTTTTTTGCTTTTGCCAGTTGAATCTTCACTGTTTCCCAGTCATGGTTTGCTTTTGAGGGTTTTTCTGCTTTTCCAGCTGCTAGAAACAGACATTTGGTTAATTTGCTGAGCTCTCTCTTTTGTTTTGAGACAGGGTCCTCATGCAGTCCTAATGGCCTGGAACTCCTTATGTAGACCAGGCTAGCTTAGGTCTCACAGAAGTCTGCCTGCCTCTGCCTCTTGAGTGCTTAAAAAAAAAAATCTTTAGCTTATTAAGTGTTGAATTCGGATAATATACTTTATGAGATCTTATGCATTCGAAATTTAAGATGAACTGTTTTGGTAAACAATCCATGTTTTGAAAAAAGTCCTTGTGTCAAGTTTACTAATTGTATTGTTCAAACCTCTTGTATCTTACTAAATTTTTTTGTGCCGTCTATTGAGGACAACTGTGGATTCCTCCGCCTCTCGGAAGAGTCGCTTCCTCGGTCTTTTCAGTCTTTTCCGCTTCTGTGTATTTGCATACCAATTTGAAACCCTTCTCTTTGAGGAACTGGATGATACAGTAAGCAGTGACCTTTGTCTCTGATGAAGTGTTTTCAGTGATATTTGAATAGCAGCACCCGCTTTTTTTTTTTTTTTTTTTTTCTCCCCCTAGTCTTAGCCTGCCATTTCCCCTGTCCTCTTAGTTTCAAACGTTTAGTACCCTTGTTTCAGAAACATCACTTGTCGCTGTATCTTGCAAAGTTCATCTGCTGGGATTTCGGCCAGTCTTTTTTGTTTGTTTATTGTTTTTTTTCTTTTTTTTTTTTTAGCTTTGACCACAATATTTAGTCCCCCGCATTTACTGAATCACAAGGCATTTGAACTTATATCTATCTTCTATTTATCCGATCAGTTTTGTGTTTTTTCCTCTCTTCTTGGCTTGCCCAGGATTGTGAATTGTTTGCTTTTTTTTTTTTAACTTTCCCCCGCTCTGATAATGTGGACCGACTCGTGTCCTCTACTTGATTTTGATGTACAAGCTAAATACAACTTGGATCTTAATTCCTCCTTCCTTCCTTTTCCCCAGGGAGTGTAAGAATCCTAGAACACTTGAACTCCATCCGCCGGATGGTTACCTATGGTTCTTGTGTATTTATTTACCTTCTGTTTTTCTCTGGAAGACATTGTTTAAGCTCTTTACCATTAATGTTCTTCATTATCTGTTTTTCCTTCTTGCATCAGACCTCTGTCTGCTACTCTTCCTCCTCAAGTTCCTCCTTTGGAATTCCCCTCAGGGAGGGGCAAATTCCGAAGTGTCTGCATTCGCCAAAGTCTTTGTTCTTCGCAATAGTTTCCCTGGATAAACAATCCTGGGATGGCGGCAGTTTTCCGTCTGGACAGATGCATGGTCCTTTGCCTTCTCCTGCTCTTATTAAAAGGTCAGGTGTAAATATTTTCCTGCACCGGATATAGACATTTGGAATTTATCCTGAGACCAGGGAGCCATGTTATCTAAATACAGGATAACGCATTCGGGTCTGCATTGTAGAAAGCGCACTCCATCGCGGTGTAGACAGGCCGGACGCCGCATAGCTGAAGAGTTTGTAGCTAGGAGCTAGTGCAGTGGGGTGGAAGTGATGAGGGGCAGCCCTGAGTCCCCTCCAGGAAGTCAGAGAGGCACGATAGGGACCGACCCTGGAATGAAGAAACCAGAGGGGCAGGGCCAACTCCTACCTTCAGGTAGAGAAAATGGCTCAGGGTGGAGGTTAACGAATTCTCCATTCATTCCACAAATACTTGCGCGCCCAAAGTGACCGCTGGAGTCAAGGGTGTGGCGGGGAACAGCTAGCTGAAAACGTCCTGGCGCTCGCAGCGGCACCTGCGGCTGTTACCCCCTAACTTGGGGTCCTCGAGGCAGCGCTCCGGTGCGATCCCAGCGTCTAAGCACCACTTGCTAGGACGCAGGAAGGGATAGACACAGAGGCACCTACGCTTCTGCCTAGTCTACACCGCTCTGGCGCTCGGGCTGGAGACCCTGGTCCTGGGAAGCCAATGATGAGGTGGTTAGCCTTTGCAGTCCTCCCTCCTGCAGGCCAGGATGGGGTGGTTAGCCTTTGCTGTCCCCCCCTCCCCCCACAGCGCCAGGGTCCCCGCCTAGGCCGGGTCTCTTCTGTAGTAAGGGACACAAATGACCTCCTTGCTGTGTCCGTTTCCTATCGGCACAACCTGCTCCACAACGATTTTGTTTTATGAGACAGGGTCTCACGTGACCCAGTCTTGCCTCCAACTTTCTATGTAGCTCCAGGTTGGCCTTGAACTCCTGATTCTCTGGCCTCAGCCGCCGAAACAAATGCTGAGGTTAGAGGCCTGCGCTACCTCTCTCTGCTTCACGGATACATCTTTTCGGACCTTCCAAGTCATCGGGAGGATTGGAGGAGCTGATCATGTCCTGCCCAGAAGCTGAGCAGCGAAATGGGGTGCGCGGGAGACCGCTGGGCACAGACCCCGACGCTCCAAATAAGTCCGGCAGAGGCGGGGATCAGACCTGCCCCGGGTCCAGGAACGAGGGCAGTGGGCGTGGCCTGTCGATGAGGGGCGTGGCCTGCCGACAAGGGGCGTGGCCCAACGGCAAAGGGCGGAGCTGACCTGCAGGGCGGGAGCCCAGTCCCGCCACCCGCCGGCCTGCGCGCTCCCGCCGAGCTCCCGCCCCACCCCCTCCCCGCGCGCGCCCGCTCGCCTGCGCGGAGGAAAACGTTGCGCAGGTTCAAAAATGGAACGTCGGCGGCGTGAGGGAGCGCGAGGGGGTGTGCGCGCGTGCGCGTGCGCGTGCGCGCCCAGCCGAGCCTGACGGGGTCCCTGCTGGCCCGAGCATCGCGCGCAGAAGCCGCGGCCCCGTTGCTCCACCCCCGGCCCGGCCCGGCCCCGGGCCCGCTCCCCCGCCGCCCCGCATGGAGCTGTCAGCCATCGGCGAGCAGGTGTTCGCGGTGGAGAGCATCCGGAAGAAGCGCGTGCGGAAGGTGAGGCTGCTCGGGGGCGGCTCCCGGGACCTGGTGAGGTCGCCTCGCGTCCCCCAGCACCGCCCCCTCCGGGCTCGGCCCGGAGGAAAGTGGTGCTGGGGTGGGGGGGGAGGGCTCAGGTCTTCCTAGCCCGTTCCTCAGTTTCCCCGCCACCGTGGAGGACCAGTGGAATAAAAAGTTGTTGCCTTGTGATGCTGAGAGCAGCTGAGGCCACCTGGGCTGGAGATGAGGATGGGACTGGGAATTCTGGGCTCCATCCGGCCTCGTCCTCTTTACAGTCTTAATTTCGGGGAGATTGAGGCCCAAGTTGAGGAAACAACTTGCTAGTGCGTTAGAGTCAAAAGAGTATCGAACTTGGCTCTCTGGAGTCTTAGTACCAAGTCCTTTAAAGTTGGAGGGGGAGCTTTGGAAAAGTGTCTTTGGGCCTCCGAAGTTTTCCAGTTGGACTTTGACCTTCCCGATCCCAACCCCCCAAGGCACACCTTATTCTCCTTCACCCATCCCTCCCTTCCCCCACCTCCCAGCGGGGAGCTGCTGGGAAGCTTGGCCTCTGTTGTTGGGGCATCCTCGAAGCTCCTCCCCCTCCGCCTTGGCCTTACACACACACACACACACACACACAGACACACACACAGACACACACACACACACACACACACACACACACACACACACACCCTGAGATTTAAGGAGGCGGTTCTGCAGGGCTCAGGACCACACACCTCAGCCTGGAGTTTCCGGTCTCAACCAGAAGTCAACATTCTTTGTGCACGTGTTGGCCGGGAAGCTCACCCCATAGTGGACTTGGGTCTGGGCTCTTGCATGGGAAAAGTCCCTCCCCTGGCTCTGAAGGTCCCCTTCCCACTTCTCCCTGCAGCTCCTTGGGAGGTTCCTGGCAGCCACCGTCTCCCATTTGACAGAGGCAGAAACTGAAGTGCAGGCGGTGGGAGTGAGTGCTTTAGGATCCTCAATAGGGTTTGGGTGTTCCTGCTGCGGGCCCGGGTGCTGCTGTGCCAGTCTCTGCAGCCCATGCCTTTGGGCCCAGGGAGGGTGGCTTGGCTGTCTTAGTTAAGGGCTGCCTCTCCTTTCCCTGCCTTCCCAGCAGGTACAACCATCATCCCTTCTCCACCCGACGGAAGGGATACTTATTTCCTTCACTCCAAACCTTTATTGAGGCTCCAGCAGGTTCCAGGCACCACTCTGAGCTCGGGGCTCTGTTTTAAACTCTCAGGGCTGGCATTCTGGCAAAAGATACCGGTGCAGGATGAATGAGGAAATAAATACAGATAGATGCTTTTGGCGGGTCTGAACTCTTTAGAACTGTCCACTGTGTGGTGCTAGGGAGGGAAGCTTGGATAAGATGGCCAGGCAGGAGGTACCACAATGTAATACCAAAAGGTCTCCCTCATGCCATGGGGCTGCCCTGGTCATTTAAAGACCTGTCCCTGTGACTGTTTCTTAACAAGTGTGTGTGTGTGTGGGGGGGGCTAGTCACCTTTTCTGAAGGTGGGGATTGTCAGTCTGTTCTGGGATCCTACCTGGACATGTGCCTCTGGGTAGAAGGCATCCTCTCCCAGAGAGCCATGGGACACCCTGAATAGGATCTGCAGTGGCTTCAAGCCTAAAAAGGAAGAATCACAGTCTTGGCATGGTTGGCCATTGTGAACCTCTAGCCATGCATGTATGTCCCTGGGTAGTCTCAGTTTCCTCATGTGACATGGGCCCCTAGCTTGGGTTCCAGAGCTGTTTAAGGCCAGAAGCTCTCCCATGTCACAGGGAGGGCAGTAGGGTGGTCATGCAGCAACCAGCATTTGGAGGGGTTTTTGGGTTGGCGGGATATGGTATATACACCCCTGGGGTATATGGGCTGGAGACAACTGTTTGCAGAGGGTCCTTTGGGTCTTACTGTCCTGTAAGTAAGTGATTGTAGGGTTATTCTGGTCTCACCTTGTTCCCTTTTCTCTTCCCAGGGCAAAGTTGAGTATCTGGTGAAGTGGAAAGGATGGCCCCCCAAGTAAGACTCCTGTGTGTCTGTCTGTCACCCCCTGACACTCTAGCTTTTAACTCCCATTGCTTTTTAAAAATATTTTATTTTATTTTATGTGTATGAGTGTATTGTCTGCATGTATCTAAGTGTACCTGTGTCATGCAATGTCCTCAGAGGTCAGAAGAGGGTGTCGGATCCGCTGGAACTGGAGTTACAGATGGTTGTGCTTGTGCACCTGTGCATGCATGCTGGGCATTAAACCTAGGTCCTCTGCAAGAGCAGTCAATGCTCTTAACCGTTGACTGAACAGCAAACCCTGACTAAATCAGCAGCTTTTCTAGACCTCGGTTCCCCTTCTGACGGGGGACTGGAGCATAAGGCAGGTGTCCTTCTTGTCCTCTTGCCCTGCTTCCCTCTTCTGGCTATGGGAGTAAAGGCCCAGAATCTTGGCTTTAGCAGTGGCAGCTGGTCAGATGAAGGGGTCTCCCCAGGTGCAGCGGGTCTAGTGCTAGATGAGAAGGGAACCTTGGGCAGAGGAGCCCAAGTCCCCAGTTCAGAGTAGGGAGGAGCAGAGACTGGGTCACCTGAATTTAGGTAGTACTCTCTGGTCTACAGAGGAAGTTCTCAGACATTCATTTTAAGTGGATAGGTTCACAGGATAAGCAGCTTGCCTTAGGTCACACAGCAAGATGAGGCAGAGCTTGGACATGAACTTAAGCCTTACCATTTTTAGGTCTTACCTCTGTTCCTTCCTGACATTCCTTTCCAGTTTTGTAGGGTGGAGAATTAGGTATAAGACCTTTCCCAGGCTGGACCTCTGATGCTAAGGAACCAGTCACCTCCCAGCAAGGAATTGTTGAGGGTGAGGAACAAGTGCCTCTAGGTTAGTTTGTGCCTGTCCTGCTGGCCTCCTAGAAACTGGCTCCTGGAATCCCTCTCCCCTTCTTCCTGATGGTTTTGTCTCAGCCTCTGGGGCTTCTGTGTGTGTGTTGTTGTAGAGGGTGGAGGTAGAGGGTGGACCTGTGATTGGATCCTGGGGTATCTTGGAGGGATTGTGGGGAGAGGGGAAGACAGCCCCAAGTGCCTCAGCTTCCCCTTCTACATAATGGGTTCTATAGTCCAGACCTGGTCTTCTTTCATAAACTGCTTCAGGGTGAACCACCGGCATTGCGATGGTGTGCTGATGACCAGTATGTAGATAACACACTTGTACACCTCTCCCTCCATTCTTCCTAAATCCCTCTCTGCTGGTCACAGGTAGGCTTCTAACTGGAGCAAAGCTTAAGGGTGAGAGAAAAGGGAGAGTCAGTAGCCTGCACAGGGCTCTTAGCCTCTGTTATCTGAATGCAGCCACAGTGGGGCATATCTACAGAATTCCAGGAGGAGGGGGAGGGGGAGGAGGAGCCCCCTTGTTTCTGTTTGAAGCCATTTGACTGTGTTACCTGGGATGATGCCTTCTGCCTGTGTGCCCACAGCTCCCCCTTTGCATCTAGATTTGAGACCTGGCCTGCCCAGTGTGCGGCTGTGAACCTTTGGGCACCTCCCTGGCTGGCCTCTGCTGCTTGGTCTTCAAATACCAAAGCCCCACAACCTCTCATAGAACCTGTTGTTCTGAGGACTGGATTCACTGCAGTTAGATGGCTGGGCCTTTACATGATGTTTTGTTTGAAGGAAAGGTTCCATTCCAAACAGGAGCTTAAAATATCCTTAGAATAAGGCCCTCCTTTTTTTCAGATGAAGAAACTGAGGCTCAGAAAGGGGAGGTCATTACAGAAACATGACTCCCAACCTCACATAGCATAGTCCCTGCTTCCACCAGTACTGGTGGCGATGCCCGCCACCAGTGTGAGGCAGATCTAGCTGCCAGCCATTCCGACCTCACTTGGAGAAGTTGAGATGAAGAGTCCTGAAAGCCAGGGCCTCTGAGCAGCTGGTCTCCAGAGACCTGACTTGGGACACAGAAAGAGTGACTTGGGGCTGAGGAAGAGTGAGGAGTGGGTCTCCTCAAGCCTGGGAACCTTGGCTGGGCAGTGCCAACCTTGGGCCAGGGTGGGATCCTACTGCTGAGCAGCCACTCTTCCTCATCCCAGGGTAATGAGCTGGCTATTAATAAGTGACCCCTTCCAAGCTGCTTGTGTGCCTGCTTGTTTTCTCCCCAGCAATAGACTAAGGATAGACACCCCTAGTACAGTGGATATGGTAGAAGGGATCTCATGTATCTTCTGGGAGTATGAGGCAGATCTGGAATGGTAGTTGTCAGCTATAGGTGCTCTGTGTGACTCCGAGATTATGGGTACCCTACTCCTGGTTCTGCCTGCCTGGCACCCTGCTGTTCCCCCATCCTAGAGGTCTTCATTTCTTTTGCACCATGCATACAGCCCCATCTTTCCAGAAGGGTGGCTCCATGGAGCTTCAGTAATGTGTTAGGTTACCAAGCTACCAGTGCATGAGCCCAGGTGTGAGTCAGCCTCCTTACAGATGAAGAGATATAAAGCCCCCAGCGGAGAGGAGTCCTCACCTGAGGAGACTGGCCCACACGAAGGCTACATAGGCCAGCACCACCAAAGATGCCCAGAAGTGTCTTCTTGCCTGTTAGGTTTTCTGTTGGTTCAGCAGGATGTTTTGGGGCCAGACCATACAGATTTGAACCTTGTGATTTCCAAGCTGTGACCCAGGGCTGCTTGTGCCTCTATTTACTCAAGTGTAAACAGAGGCTCCTACTGAAGCCTGCCTGGGACAGCAGTCATCAGAGCCCAGGCAGGCCCGAATCAAGCAGGGTGCCTCCTGCAGGTCCTGTCCTGAGTTAGCCCTGGCAGCTGTTACTGCACTTCAGGCTTCTGAAGCTGATTTAATTAACACATCTGGGCTTTTACTGTGTGCCACACTGATCTTCGTTATGTGGCTTAGTACAAGTACACTGAATCTTGACCACACCCCAAAGCGAAGGGTTTACCGGGAAGACCAGCTTTAGGATGAGGCCCCAGAGATGGAGTCACTTGCCCTGCAGCTAGGGCAGCAGGAGTGGGAGCCAGGTCTGGCTCTGGGTCCCTAGGGTGATTCCAGTTGCATCCCGATCTTTTGCATCATAGCGCTGCAGCACCCCCCCACCCCAGTAATGCCACCCCCCCTCCCTCCAGCAGATGGCTGTCCGCCCCGGCGCGCGGGTGCGCCGCGGCAGCTCTGAGCTTGTTTACCACGCTGGGGGCGGGGCAGGCGGTCACGTGGCCGTGTTTATCTCCAGCCCTACGGCCCGGCCCCCATCAGTCTACTGGGATCCGGTGTGCGCCCTCCTGTGCGTGCCCCTCTCCCTGCGTGCGCACGCGCGCTCCCTTCCCAGCCCGCCCTGGACCCCTCTGCAGGTTTGGGGCCCCCGTACTCGGCCCCTGGGTCTCTGTGTCACGGCTGCCCCAGTGACCCTGTACTCCAGCCGGCCTTTTCTGTGCCCTCACTGCATGTGGATAGAGATCTAGATAGTGATCCTCCTCAGCCAGTGGCGAGCCCAGGAGGTGACCTTGGACAAGTAGTTCAACATATGTGCCTCAGTTTTTTCATCTGTAAATTGGGGGGTAGAGGGTCATTTAAGAACCTACCTTGGGCGCAGTATGGAGAGGAAGTAGTTCCTCAGGTATCCCGGTGCGCCTGCTGTGACTGGCAGTTGTGGCGCTTCTTTAGGTGAGGTCCACAGGATGATAGGGGCTTGTCAGGAGCCTCATAGCAGCCACAGAGGCAAGACATGGGCTGGCAGGTGGTCAGGGCAAGGCAGAGGGACTGAGCAGGTAGTGAGGGTGGAGCTGGCCAATTATTAGGAGGATGGCATGAGTCCCACCTGCCCTGGTTAGGTGTTCAGGGTTTCACTTCGAGATTTCTCTAGGGGTGAACCTCAGCTGCTTTCCTAGAACTCCCGGGACAGGGCTTATGCTGGAGTTCCGGAGACAGTGGTCCCTGGGACCTGCGCCAGCTGCATTCACAAATGACCTGACAGTTGATCCTGCCAAGCGAGGTCCCCTGTGAAAAAAACCTGGTCCTCGAGTTTAGCTAAAGCTGGCTGTGGGGACATGGAAAGGCTCACACGTGTCTAACTCTTTTGCTCAGTAGGAAAGAGCTGTGCATACTGGGGCCTGATGCACTCTGCTGGTCCCGGACCCCACACGCTGACTGAATAGTTACAGAGAGGAAGGAGGAAAGTGGTGTGTTCCTGGGCAGACTGCCCTCCCTATTGGTCTAGAGTTAAGTATCTTGAGACGTGCCACAGAGGCTTAAGAGAAAGGTTTTAGCTCAGGCAGGCTCTTCTGATGCCTCTCTGCCTCTTTCTGTTGCTGACAGGCCTCACCAGTGGCCTGCCTTCTCCAGGAGGACTCTGTCCTCAATCACAGAGCATGGCTTTGTTTGGATTTACATGCATTTGTATTAAACATAGAGATAAAGATATAT